AAAGCAGGATCTCAACAGATGGAACTCAGAATTAACGTCTTGGAATCTAAACTCTCCAAGATGAAAACCTTGCATGAAGATTCTAACAAAGCAGAGTTGGAAAAATATAAGAAATTGTACTTAGTAAAACTAGACGTTAGAAAGTCATTAGAAGATAAACTACACAAGTGAGTCAAAACACAGAATCACAGAAAAGAAATTTAGGTCATTAATTTGTCTCTAAAGCCTAATTTTTATAGAGTGTGGTTCATGAGATTGGCAGAAAGTGAAAGCTAACTAGATAGTCACTGCTAAGGGAGAGCCCTAAGACAAACTATTAATACTGTATCAAGTTTTCCTACACTATGAGCAAAGTCTCTGTTTCATAATTTTATTAATATATTTTTATGCATCTACACTGTTCTTCAAATTTTATGAAAATATCAACATCAGTTCAGTTCAGTTCAGTTGCTCAGTTGTGTCCAACTCTTTCTGTTCCCATGGACTGCAGCACACCAGGCTTCCCTGTCCATCACCAACTCCTGGAGGTTTTACAAACTCATGTCCATTGAGTCGGTGATGCCATCCAACCATCTCATCCTCTGTCGTCCCCTTCTCCTGACGCCTTCAATCTTTCCCAGCATCAGGGTCTTTCCAAATGAGTCAGTTCTTTGCATCAGGTGGCTAAAGTATTGGAGTTTCAGCTTCAACATCAGTCCTTCCAATGAATATTCAGGGCTGATTTCCTTTAGGATGGACTGGTTGGATCTCCTTGCAGCCCAAGGGACTCTCAAGTCTTCTTCAACATCACAGTTCAAAAGCATCAATTCTTTGGCCCTCAGCTCTCTTTATTCCCCAACTCTCACACCCATACATGACTACTGGAAAAACCACAGCTTTGACTAGATGGACCTTTGTTGGCAAAGCAATGTCTCTGCTTTTCAATATGCTGTCTAGGTTGGTCATAACTTTTCTTCCAAGGAACACGTATCTTTTAATTTCATGGCTTCAGTCAACATCTGCAGTGATTTTGGAGCCCAGAAAATCACCGTCACTGTTTCCATTGCTTTCCCGTCTATTTGCCATGAAGTGATGGGACCGGATGCCATGATCTTAGTTTTATGAATGTTGAGTTTTAAGCCAACTTTTTCACTCTCCTCTTTCACTTTCATCAAGAGGCTCTTTTGTTCTTCTTCACTTTCTGCCTTGAGGCTGGTGTCATCTGCATATCTGAGGTTATTGATAGAAATATCAATATTTCTATATTTCAGTATTTCATCCCAGCAATCTTGATTCCAGCTTGTGTTTCATCCAGCCCAGCATTTCTCATGATGTACTCTGCATATAGGTTAAAAAAGCAGGGTGACAATATACAGCCTTGATATACTCCTTTTCCAATTTGGAACCAGTCTGTTGTTTCATGTCCAGTTCTAAGTGTTGCTTCCTGACCTGCATACAGATTTCTCAGGAGATAGATCAGGTGGCCTGATCTATCTATCTATCTATTCCCATCTCTTATAAGTCATTAGGAAAATAGAAATTAAAATCTCAGTGAGATAGCACTACACACCCATTAGAATGGGTAAAATTTAAAACACTAACCATACCAAGTATTGGAGTGGATGCAGAACTGGAACTCATACACTGCTGGTGTGAATGCAAAGTGCACAACCACCTTGGAGGAGTTTGGAAGTTTCTTCAAAAGTTAAACTCACACCTACATTAAGACCCAGCCATTTTACTCCTAGTTATTTGGCCAAAGAAAAGGAAATACACACTCGGAACAGACTTGTACATCAACGTTCCTGGCATCTTTTCTGTAACAGCCCCAACTGGAAATAACATACTGTTGGCAAAGAAGGTTAGGGGGAGTGACTCTCATAACTCCTGGTGTAGTATAAATTATAATTCCTATATATTTCAGCAAGAGCCATCAAAAGTACAATTATCCTACACACCAAGCTGTGCATGTGTAAAGTGATATATCTACAAGGGTACACATATAGCTTTGTTTATAATAGCAAAAGGATGAAATCTGTTCAATTGCCTGTCAATTAGGTAAATACATTTAAAAAAAAAAGATACTAAATGTCCTCTATTAGTTTGCAGGGGTTGCCAAAACAGAATATTACAGACTGGGCGACTGAAACAAAAGTAATTTATTTTCTTACAATTCTGGAGGCTAGAAATCCGAGATCAAACTTATTAGCAGGTTTGTTTTTCCTGAGGCCTCTATCTTTGACTTGCAGATGGCTGCCTTCTTTGTTACTACATTTTGTTCTATATGAAAACATTGTTTTTGTAATGTCACAAAATAGAATAAATTCAACTCATCCTAAAATACCACCAATTGTGAAAAGCAATAGACCACGTGAAATTAGCACCTCCCTCCTCTACATCCTAAAGGATTAATACAGTATCAATACAGATACTTCTTCCAGTTATAGGGCTAAGACGAGAAAGGAAAGACAGACACATATTAGGGATAATCATATGTAATGAAATGAAAAAAAAAACTGCCTTAATACATTTCAAAATATAGATTAAAAAAAGCTTAGGAAAAAAGACTAACTAAAATTTACTTAATAAAAAGTAGAAAAGTTTGACTATAAGCTAAAGAAAAGAAAAGAAAAAATCATCAAGTATCTCTCTCCAAAGAAGATTTATATTGAGATAGTTAGATAGGTATTAATGCCATTTTCAAAGGTACATGTCTATGAAAAATAGATAAAGGAACTTGCACCACTAAAAACTGACACCAGAACACTCACACCCCATCTGACTGGGGGACCTCTTGCTGTTCTGCCTTTATGTGGTCCACGCGGCCTCTTCACTGACTCTGAGCAACCGGGGCTGTATTAGTTGACTGAATTTGGCAGAAAATGGTGCTAGTCCATTACCAGGCCTAGTCGTTCAGAAAACCAGCAGCACCCACATCTACCCTCTTAACCCTGCAGGGTCCCAAGCTGCCAGGTAAGAAGCCCAACCAGCTCACTGGAGAGAACCTCGCAACAGGCCCACATGAACAGAGGCCAAGCCATCCCAGTCAGGCCACCAGAGGAATGCACCTGCATCAGGGACCCTAAGCAAGAGCTGCAGAACCTCCCAGTAGAGCCCAGCCAACCTGCAGAGCTGGGAAAGTCAATCAAATCGTGTGGTTTAAAGCCATTGTGTTTGGATGGCTGTTTCATAGGAACAGATGACTGAAAACACTGACAAAGCAGAGACACATATGCAGTATTACCAGCAGTAGTCAACATTTTTCCGAAAGTTCCAGATGACAAAATCAATGTGAAAAAGAAATGACTTTATATAGGAAAGTGGCCAAATCATCATCATTTACTGCTTTTTAATATTTATCAGCCAAAACCAGTTAGAAAATGTAACAGAAAAGAAGATTCTATTCACATCAGGAACAAAAACTGAAAAGTATTTCATTGGAAAAACACCTGAAATGGGATTGCATTTTATATCCGTAATCAGTTAACAATGGGCACACTGGATGGTGGCATTTAGTAGGTAAAATGGGAACTTACTTCGATTTTCTACATTGTATGTTTTCTTTTATCTTTTTAACTGTGCATTACCTTTAAATTAAGAATAAACATATATTTTAAAATTCTAGACACAACTCTATAGAACCAACCAACATAAATCAATAAAACCTATAAAATTTTAACTTTTCAACCAGTATACATTTACTTCAAATAAGAACTGTACTTATTATTTTATTTTGGGAATGAATCAGGAAAGTACATCACACAGTTTATATACAGGAATGATGCTGGCCTGGCAACAGGGCATTGGCCTTTACTGCAGGTTCCTCCTCACAGCTGACTCACATGGACTCTGGGCTCCCCTGCACATGGTTCCACATGCTTGGAAGAGCAGAATGCAAGGGACGTGACCACTGGCCTACAGTTAAAACATCATCCATCCCATTCACTAGAGAAATTTTCCTTATTGTTTACTGGCAGAGATTCAGATGAAAATCTGATCTGGCTATAAATCTATGGAAAGAATTATTTTTAAAAATGAGGGGATTCCCTAGAGGTACATGGTTAGGGCTTTGTGCTTTCAATGCCCAGGGTACAGGTTCAATCCCTGGTCAGGAACCAGATCCTGTGAGCCACACAGCTTGGAAAAGAATCTGCCAAGGGCAGCCTGCTGACCTAAGTTTTAATATGTGTGTTGTGAAAACATGCAGATCCACACCCTAGGTAGAGGATTCCCGTAGCTTGACCACTTGAGTATAATTTTGGCCTGAAATATTCCCGTCTAAGAAATAAATTATACAGAGTGCCAGGTACTGGGTTTATCTGGGTTTTAAACTTGAATGTCTCTGAGATTACTGGGCTGGTCATGGAGGGGACTGGTGGAGAAAGGGTATTGACCAGCAGGTAGGACCCCCTTGTGCCTCTCCGATGCCTATCATTTCAATGGACAGTAGAAATTGCCCTCCACTTAGCTGATCAGCTCTTCATGTGACTTTTTGGTCAATGTGACTCTTGGGGCGAAATTGCACAAAATTCCTTTCCTAGCCCCAATCTCAATTTCTTTTTCCAAAATGGACATTCTGCGACACAAGCTTGCACACAGGCATGAGCAAGACCAGCCACCACTGGAAATGGGCAAAAATCCATTGTGTCCTTTAGAGACCGCCAGCTCTACCTGCCCATGTGATTTGGAAACAAACTTGAGAAACGCAGCTCCCTGGCCTGCACAGCACACTTCCAGCAACAGTCCAAGAGGCAGAGGGACACGAGGCCTCCCTTCACACCAGGTGAAGCTCTCCCTCAGTGTTTAAAAGAGACGAACATCTAACAGGTGTTTACTGGCATGAAACTGAAACACAGGGTAGCATTTGGGGAATTGTAGGACGCTGTGATTACAGAGACAGCTTACTACACAAAGGGGAGAATCCTGTACAATAGAAACTCAAACCTCCTGCACGCTGTGAGGACAGAATGAGAAATGGCAGTGCACGAGCCAGGAAGCATTCTCTTTAAGCACAGCGTCTGCTAGAACCCTGATCTTGGACTCTGCTGTAGAGCTGTGGACAGCAGGGTGGATGTGTGTGGATTCTCTGTATGGCCAGAGTGCAAACTCTCTTTTGAGAACTGATACTTCAAAGTACAAACATGCAACACAGATTCACAAATATGTTTACCATGGAAGGTGATGGAATTATATTCAGAAATGAAAAAAAGAGAAATTAACAACCAAATGAAAAGAAAAAAAGAAAACAAACCATACTCTTCTGCAAAGCATTCCTGCTTAAAGAAAGTTTCCATTTTAGAACCAAAAAGCAGTGGGCCTTGGGGAGGTAGAGAGGGAGGTGGAGAAGTGACCTTGGTTGGTGCAGTCTCACACCAGGAGGGAGTCTTAGCAGACATCCGGCCAGGGGTCATCACAGCACGTGCTCCAGAACGCCTTGTCTAATCAGCTGCTCGTACTTCCACCGAGGTAAAAAGTGCTCAGGGGAGAGCGGAGAGGAAGAGAGAGGAATGAAAAGTGTTTTAAATTACATGTTGTATCATTAAAAAGCAGCAATACATGATGAATATTTCAAACTGCACCAGTGAAGGAGTTAAAGGCTAAGCTTAAGTATATTTGCTATTTTCATCAACTGAAATTGATGTTACTTAGAGCTGTACTAAACTCTGAATTTTATACACAAATTCATTCCTTGCTTAGGTTAAATTTAAACTAAAGACTTATGAATTCTAGTAGGTATTCTCCTCAGTGTTCGCATTTTAAGATTTAAACACAGGAAAGCCAGGTAGGTGATCTGGGCCATGGACCACAAGGGCTGTGGCAACAGTTCACTAAGAAGGCAAACGGAAGGAGTGTATTCGCCATTAAACCTCTTCGAGGATATATGTCTGAACAGTCATTCCTCTACTAACAGTGCAACTCTTCTCCCATATTTTTCAAGGATGAAAAGTCTTTGTAACTCAAGAATGCTGGCCACACGGTGTGTCTGAGGAAAGTGGTGCCCGGCAAAGGCTCATCCTCCATATCTCCCAAGAGCACACTGCTCTCATTCTGAGCTGGAACGGCATCTCCTGGTCTCATTCCCTCCCAAACAGCAAGGCTTAACACACAAGGGAACATTTACTAAATTCTGGTATGGGGAGGTGCAGGGAGTGAGGCAGGAAGACTTTTCAAGCTCACAGGTGACCAAAGGAATCTCAAAGACTAGACAGATATAGATACTTGAGTAAAAATGATAAACAGTGCATTAGAAAGTGCAGCATAGAGAACTCTAGAAAGGAATTGAAGGAGCGGGCACAGCAAGTGCTCAAGGAAGCGGATGCTGTTTCAGCAGCATCATGCACCTGACAGTTCTCTACAAGCTCAAAGGCCTCGCATGGGACCCACGGCCAAAGAAACTCCTGCCAACCAGTCATGAAGACCCATGGGCCAAGGGCTGATGTCTAACTTAACTGAATTTTTAAGTCTTACAACTATGAAATGCAAAAAAGAAAAAGAAAAAAATAAAAATGATGGAGTTGTTCACTGAACAGTTATTCCAATGTCTACTAAAGACATCTGTTCTCATTTCTGGGCAATGAGAAACATGCCCCATAGAGTCAAGAATAAAGGACTGTATGGTAGGAAAATGTTTCCCTATTAATACTTCACATTATGTGGGTGATCTATTACACAGATTTTATAGAGAACTTATTTCAGATGTGCTCAGACATGCCAGAGGCCCCTTAATGTCCCCTACAGTAGATGATGCTTTTAAGTTACCCCAGTTTTACAGACTGATGCTGAGAGACAAAGTCTCATCCAGAGGAAGGCTTCTGCCCACAAACTCTAGAATCCACATGCCACAGAGCCCACACACCACAACTACCAAGTCTGCCTGCTGCCACAATGGAAGCCCGTGTGTCTACAGCCTGTGGGGAGTGGGGAGTCTGACTACACCCATTATCCCTACATGATGTTCAAGGGTCAACTGTACTGTCCCTTTCTGCTTCAAGTTTTTAGAAAAAGGATAAAAGGATATTTTATGATAAACTTAATATCTATGATACAAATGATCATCGCAAGGTGGTATTTAGTTTACTACTGATTCCAACATTTCCATCATTTGACACTCTTAAAAATTTAAAGTATCCTAAGACAGTAAATCCCTGGCTATGTTTTTTTTTTAATAGCACTGAAGTACCATCTTCAACTTCAAATTCTCCATAGTCTTTTAGACACCACACCTGAAAAGAAAAACTAATGTTTTACAATAGCTACATTATTTTTTATTATGGAGTAACCATCCAGTAGCTGGGCACTGTACATGCACCTACAGGTAAGCATTAGGCTCTGTTTATGTCTTCTCTGGATAGTTAGGCTTAGCATTCTTTCCTGAGGCATTCTAGAAGTTCAAACTGTCCACTTCTGATGGGGAGGAAGAAAAATGGCAAATCTCTGAACATATGTGTAGGTCAGCACGGACAGCAAGGAAACTGAAGGAGATGCCAAAGAGAGTTTTGGGTTGGTTTTTTCACATTGATTTCATTTTCTTTTAACAATGTGTAAAATACTTACATGGTTCTAAAGTTAAAACTTTAAAAACAGGTACAGCCAGAAATTTTTAATTGCTCAATCCTATTCCCACTACAGGCAAACGTTTTGGCTTGGGTTTATGTTTCCTCTCTTGTTTGTGCTTTGCTTTATTGTGCTTCTCTAATATTGATTTCTTTTTTTTTTTTTTTAACAAACTAAAGACTTGTGTCAACCCTGCATTGTCAGAGAGCAGAATTTTTTAGCAATAAAATATGTATATAATGCTAAGACATACTCAATAGATGAGTGTAAGCATGTTTTACATGCGCGGGGAAACCAAAAGATTTGTGTGACATGTTTTAGTGAATATTCGCTTTATTGTGAGTCAGAAACCAATCCTATGGTGTCTCCAAGTTATATGCCTATATACACTAGTATATATTCATATACCCCCTCCTTTGGACAAAAGTAAGCACACTCTAAGCATTAAAGAAACACCCATTTTTTTTAAAGGTATACTTACTTCTATATATAGGCTTTTTGGAGGTTTCACATCCTGTGTGATGTCCAAACCTTGGTCTCCTGCCAATGACCTCATGGTAGCAAGGGACATTTTGTAACCATTGAACCAGTCCACCTGGAAACAAAGATGGCCATTTGACAAAGCTGTAAGGAAATAAACTTGCAGAAACTGTACACTAAGCCTTTCAAAAACAGCACAGATGCCCACATGCATCTGTACTATGACCATTCATTCAAACTACAAATATTATCAATTGCCTATTATGAACAAAGCACTGGTACCTAGAACAGTAGGTATTGGTAATTCCGCACATTGGTACCTAATAATGCAGAATGATACACCACTTTCAAGGACGAGACAATTCAGTATTACAATAATGTTAATTGATCTATAGATCCAAGTCATTCTCAATCAAAACTCCGATTGTTTAAAAATATCAAACTTGACAAATAAGGCTAAAATTTACATGGAAATGCAAAAAGCCAAAAATAGTCAAGACACTTGAGAAAGAAGAACAAAATGGGAAAACTTAATTAAGAAGTATTACAAAATTATAATCATTTAAACAGTATGAAATCGGTACAAGGACAGACTAAGACAAAAGAAAGCTCCCCCTCTCCCCGCCAACCACAGGCATGCAACTTGGCTCGTACATTATTCACAAAAATCTATTCCAGGACCATGGATATCTTTGTGAAAAACAAAAGAAGATTACTCCAAAAAGACTGTACGGAAGAACATCTTCATAACCTTCACTAGTAAAGTGTGTGTGTGCATACATACACGCATACACCCCTCCCTCAGGTTTAACACTTGGCCAGAACGACTCACAGGACCCAGGAAAGCACTGTCCTGATGTCCACTGTTGTACTGTAGTGAAAGGAATACAAATGAGAACCAGCCAAAGGAAGAGACACCCAGGGTGAGGTCTGGGAGGGTCCCCGATGTGAAGCTTTGATTTCCTCTCCCCGAGGAATCAGGACACACCACCCTCCCGGCACTGCCGTGGAACAATGCACATGATGTGGTGTCAACCAGGGAAGCTCACACAAGTCTGGAGTGTCATGATATAGGCTGCATCGATGGATCAAACTATGATGGACTGAATCACAGGTGACGGAACCCTACTCCTGGCTCCCCTCTCCTCTCCACAATGATGTCAAGAGGCTAAAAGCCTCAAACCTGAGGGGAGAGTGGGAACCTCTGAATTTGTAGCCAGCTGGTCAGAAGGGAGAGTGGCCCTGGGAACCCCCAAACCATGGCTGGTGTCTGAAGTGAGGGCAGTCTTAACCTATGAGGTTTGGTCTAACTAGGGAGTTAGTGTCTGAAGTCACTGCAGCAGATGCTATGACTTTCACTTTGCAAATGAGGGAATTTAGGCACAGGGAGAGATGGAGCCTACTACCTAGGATCTCACAGAAGCAGAGCCAATATTTCCACACGAGTCTGCTTGCCTTCAATCCTGTGTCCTTAAATATTGTGCCTCAGTGACTGGACAAATCAAGAATTCATCACACATATTCACAAAGATAAGCAAAGTGTGTGTGTGCCTGCTGAGTCTCTTCAGTCGTGTCCAACTCTCTGCGACTGTATGGACTGTAGCCTACCAGGGTCCTCGTCCATGGGATTCTCCAGGCAAGAATACTGGAGTGGGTTGCCAAGCCCTCCTCCCGGGGATCTTCCCAACCCAGGGATCAAACTCACATCACTTACGTCCCCTACATTGGCAGGCAAGTTCTTTACCACAAGTGCCACCTGGAAAGCCCCAAGCAAAGTATGTACACACACATATTTTATGAAAAATTTCCAAATAATGATGCCAGTTTGGCACCCTACTGATGGATCTCTAGCAACTAACATAACGGGACCCTTTATTTTGTTAACAGTAGTTTTCCATACAGCATTTAGAATTACTATTACCATTCTCAGACCAAAAACTACTGAAAATCAAAGGTTAAAACAAAAAGACAAGTACTATAAATACTATTATAGAAGCTGAGCCAGAAGCTCAGCCAGATTCTGAATTTACAAATTTGAACAAGAGTGCTAACTTACGTCTTCAGCAGACATGTGAAATCGTAAGGCACTTGGCAAGACACTGCCATAACCCCACCTGAGGGCTCTAATCCAAAGCAGCCGGTCATACCTAGAACATTAATACAGCATTGGATCAGAAGTTGCCTTGATCAGGAGAGGCTTACGACTGAACCACCAGAAGGTAACACGTGGATTTGATTTGGTTCCGGAGGCAAACAAACCACTGCAAGGGGACACCTTCGGGACAGCAGGGAAAAGAGGAACAGACTGGATGGATGCTGTGAAGGGATGGTCACTGCTCCAGACAGGAGAATTACACAGTGGTCACAGGTCAATTAT